AGGCTGGGCTGCCAGGTTGATTGCGAATGGAGAGTCGCCAGCTTTCCTTCCTGCAGCCGCCTGGTCCCTTCGGCGTGCTTCCCCCAGTACACGGAGAGCTTATGAGCCCCTGGGGTTCAGGTAAAGCTCTGGCCAAGAGCTCGGAGTCCTGTTGGCTTGGAACATTCTTCCTTGTTCCTGGCTGCCCCTTAAATGGTTACCGTGTGTGCAGGCAGCTGAGCCAATTCCTGAAAGCCAAGAGCGTCCCAGTCTGCGAGCCTCGGTCTGGGAGAGGTAAACAGCTTCTTTCGGCCCTCTTGAAGCTGCACAGGACAGGCTGTGGGGAAGGCCACGCTGGGGCCGGTGGCTGTCGGTGGCCCCAAGACAGACCAGGCACAAGGGACCAGAGAGGAGGGCAGACTTGGTGGATCCAGACTCAGGTTGGATTCTGGCTCTGTCTTCCTCTGTCTGGGAACTCGGGCAAAGTCAGCCTCAGTTTCTTTATCTGCAAAATGGGATGTTCCTGCTTAGCCCTTAAGATCTCTGTGTGGCCAAGCAACTGAGTATGCACAGAGGGCCTGGCACACTGCAGGTGTCTGGAAACTGCTGTTATTCTTGGGGTGACAGTAAGTGGAAGAGACCAAGAAGGGGAATATGTCTTTACACAGAGACTGGGACTTGAGCTTTGTCTGACAGGATGAGTGAAATAAATAGCTAATAACAAGGACTACAGCAGCAACACCTTTTATTTTTCCCAAGATCCCCTACATCTGTTAGCTCCTTGTATCTCCAGATGAATCTCTGAGCAAGACAGAATAGGAACCAGAATCTCCACGTACAGGTGGGGAAACTGAGGCACATGAAAGCAGCGATGGCTCAGCTCATCGCTCCCAGAGGTTGGATGCAGGCCGCAGCTGGGACACAGGCCGTCAGAGGCTGGAATGAAATAACATGGAATCACGTGGCGAGAGAGAGGCAGTTCCTTCTGAATTATCCTCTGATCTTCTGAGGACCCAGAGAGACATTTTGCTTTCCTCTGGTGACAAGATATCTTTAACACCTTTCTAATGCAGGGCAATCTTTTTCTGGAAGAAAGAGGGAAAACTTGTCAGGCCGGTGTGGCTCAGTGGTTGAGCACTGACCCGTGCACCAAGAGGTCGCCGGTTCGATTCCTGGCCAGGACACATGCCCAGTTGTGGGCCTGATCCCCAGTGGGGGGCATGCAGGGGGCGGCCAATCAATGTTCTCTCATCAATGTTTCTATCTCTCTCCCTTTCACTTCCTCTGTCTCTAAAAAAATCAATAAAAAAAAAAGAGGGAAAACTTGTTGAGCCTTTAGGAGGTGACCAGCTGTCTCTAGAATTTAACGGCAGTATTTGTTTTCATTATTTACTTTTTCTTTTAAAAAGTAGTTTATATTTTATAGAAATAGAGCAGTAAAGTAAAACATTTTATATAAGAACCGTCTACTTATTATTTGGTTGTTATACTATTTATATAAATATATAATTATATAAGATATATATTCTATAGCTATTATAATAATAAATGTAAATATATTTATATAAATAAAATAATATAAAAACCACCAATGCATTGCTGGTTCATTTTTGGAGTTTCATTCTTTTTATGCCAGTTGATACCAATTTTTCCATTTAAGGTGGCGATATAATAAGAACTATAATATGAACACAAAAATAGCAGTGATAACTATTGCTAAATGAGCGCTTACTAAATGGTAGACCCACGCAGAGAATTTACGTTTATTTTATTATTGATTCTCCCTCAACTCTTTAAGGCAGGTACGATGACAGTCCCTAGTTTACCAGTGAGGACATCGAGGCAGAGGAGAGTTCAGTGACCTGCCAGGTCACTGAATCAGTGAGTGGCAGAACCAGAACTTGAACTTGGCAATCTGGCTGCATTCTCATAACCAATACAGTGGTGTAGAGTCTCCCTTTAGAATGTAATTATGTAAGTTTTAAAAAGTGAGTGGCTTTGAAGAAAAACAGTAAGTGCTAGCAGTACAGACTGTGAGGGTATGTTAAAATCCATGAGGCCGTGGCCCATGTGGCTCTGTTGTTTGGGTGTCGTCCCGTGCGCCGAAAGGTTGCTGGTTCCATTCCTGGTCAGGGCACTTGCCCGGGTTGTGGGCTTCATCCTGGGGCGCGCAGGAGGCAGCTGATGGACGTTCTGCTCTCACACCGATGTTTCTCTCTCTCTCTCTCCCTTCTCTCTCTCTTAAAAAAAAAAATCAATAAAATTCATGAAGATGACAATAAATTTCTAATTTTCCACAAAATTAAAAACAAAATGAAACAAACAGGCCAACTCCATGTGCACACAGGAGAGAGGCCCAGAGAAGGAAGGCACCTACCTGGGGTGGCACAGTGAAGTGGGACCCAGGGGAACCAATGCCCCAGGGAAAGCTGGGAGGAGTGGGGAGGGCCTGTCACAGGGGAGGGGTGCCGGCCTAGCAGACTCAGTGTGTCTGTGTTCACGGATGTTAGACGTGGTCCTCTAACTCCCTGTTCCCATTCCTATGGCTATCATTAGGATTGCATGGGTGGGGGTAAATAACTATTGGGGTTCAGCCTTGCTTGGGGTGCATTGGAAGAGGTTACCAGGACAGATGAGCCAACCAGCCTGCCAAATTAAAGACCCTCCTCCACCTCAGTGTGAAAATAGCCCCTCCTGGGCACGTGTACTTTCCACATGAAGTACCTTTGGTACATCGTCCCCTCTGAGTGTAACAGGACAGCGCCAGGTCCCTCTTTCCTTCACAGTGGGGGCTGTAGGCATCCATTCATTCATTCTGCACTTAGTGCTGAGGGGGGCTGCCCTGTGCTCAGTACTGCACGGGTACTGAAGACACGGTGACACTGACATTTGCCTAAATGCCTTTACTAATGTCCCCTGCTTTGTAGCCTCCTGGCATTAGACTCTTGCTGGGATCGAGACATACCATCCTCCTCCTCCAAGACCCTGTTTTATCTCCCTGTCTCCCTGTCTCCCATATAAACGAAGATTCTTCTTCATTCTCTTCTCCCTTTACATTCCTCAGCGATAGATGGACTCAGTTGCAGCCAGTGTGGGCCAGCCAGCGGCCTCTATTGCGCTTCTGAAGAGTTGGACATCAGTCATGGATGGATGCAGTTATTGTATCTGAATGGAAACACCTGTCCTGTCCAACTTGCCTGTGTTACAGATGGAAAAACTGTGGTTGAGAGAGGAGCATTTTGTTCAATTTTCCACAACATTTACTGAGCACCTATTTCGTGCCAGGGACTGAAGACCCTGGAGGAACAGGAGCCAGGGCTTGCGGGGTTTGCTTCTGTTGCTGCTGAAGCAAATGATCACAACTGTAGTGACTGATAGTGACGTGAGTCGGTTATCTTGCAGTTCTGTAGGTCAGAAGTCCGACGTGGGTCTCACTGGGCTCGCAGCAAGGTGTTGGCAGGCTGCGCCTCTGCTGGAGACGCTTGGGGAGAACCTGCTTGCTTGTGTCTCCCAGCCTCGCGGAGCCGTCGCATTCCTGGGGTCTGCCTCCATTTTCCAGCCAGAAGCCTCGCATCTCTCTGACCCTCTTCCGTAGTCTCCTTTCTCTCCGGCTCCTGCCTCTTCTGCACCTTCTTGCACTTTTGAGGACCCTTGCAGTGGATAATCCAGGATAAACTCCTTAGTTTAGGTCAGCTGACCATCAACCCTGGTTTCCTCTGCAACATTCATTCCTCTCTGCTGTGTGACGTAACATGTTCACAGGTTCCAGAGGTTAGGATATGGGCATCCCTGGGGGCCATTATTTTGCTTCCCATTCCTGTTTCTTTCTTTCTTTTCTTTTTTTATCCTCACCCGAGGACATTTTCCCATTTTTTTGTTCAGGTAGAGTGGGAGGGAGAGAGAGGAACAGAGAGAAAGAGAGAGAAACATCGATGTGAAAGGAACACATCGAGTGGCTGCCACCCGCACAACCGACCAGGGCCGGGGACAAACTGCAACCGAGGTACATGCCCTTAGCGGGAACCGAACCCGGGTCTCTCAGGACCGCAGGTCGACGCTGTAACCGCTGAGCCAAACCGGCCAGGGCCCATTCCTGTTTCTTGGGGAGCCTGGAGTCCATTGAGGGAGACAGCAATCCGTGTGGGAATCACCATGACAGGGGCACCATAGAAACCCAGAATAGGGGACACCTGACCCAAGGGTATGTGGAGGGGGTGGTCAGAGAAGATCCGGAAGAGAGGAGGGCTGACCTGAATCTTACAGAATGAGGAGGAGGTGGCCAGATGGCGAGGGAATGGGAGTGGAAGGCAGCCTGGGAGAAGGATCAGCAGGTGCCCAGGCCTGGGGGTGAGCGAGAGAATGTGTGTGTCCCTGTGGCAGAGCATGAGGGGGCAGTGAAGCTGGAGTGAGCCGGAAGGGGCAAGGTCGTGGGGCAGCTGGATGCCTGCAGGCTGATGCTTTCTTGGCCTAGCAGCTGACTGAATGGTGGGGCCCTCATTGAGCTGGGAACCTGTAGGGAGGAGAGGGTTAGGAAGGTGCTGAGTTGGATTTGATATGTTGGTGGTCTGTGTCTGATAGATCTCCAGGGGAAGTATCCAGAAAGCAGCTGGCTGTATGAGACCGGAGCTCATATATCAACTTGTATCAACTAGTTGTTGCTGTGTAACAAACCACCCCAAAACTCAATGGCAAAAGACAGCCACCGCGTATTAGCACTCAGGCACTTGCATGCTGACTGGGGTTTGTCTGATCTAGGCTTGGCTTCACTCGTAGCTCAGCTTCAAAATGCAGGTCTGTGGGTCATCCAGGTGGTAGGATTTGGGGATGCTGATCTCCCCTTTACCTCTGGCTCTGACCTGGATGCCTTCCTTCATTGCACCTTGGACCAGAGAATGACATTTGAACAAAGACCTGCAGGAAGTGAGGGAATGGGGATGTCTTGAGGGAAATATTTTAGGCCAGTGCAAAGGCCCTGAGGTGGCATTGTCCCCAGTGTGTTGGAGGAACAGGAAAGAAAGCCCATGTGGTTGGAGGAGGTGAGTGAAGGAAGCAGGACAGGAGGTCAGAGAGTTAGGAGGGACTCCAGTCATATGGAGCCTGGAAGGTCATGGGAAGTGGCCACTACCCTTGTAATTACTGCTGTCACTTTTCATCCTCTTCTCCTCTCCCCACAGGACCCCCCATCCCTGGACACAGCCATCCAGAATGCCCTGGCAGGCCTCTATCCTCCTTTTGAGGCCACGGCGCCCATTGTCCTGGGGCAGGTGTTCCACCTCCTAGATTCTGACTTCCGGGGGGATGGGCTGAGCTTCCTCCTGGATTTCCTGATCCCTGCCAAGCGCCTGTGTGAGCAAGTACGCGAAGCAGCCTGTGTAAGTCGGAGGGATGCCCTCCAAGTGGAGCAGGAAGGCCGCCCGGCCCTTTGCTCTCTGACATGTAGGAGCCCATCTCGTCTGCTCTTTGACTAACAGGGAGGAAGGTCTGGATAAAGGCCACTCGGGTGGCTTCCCGGCCCCAGGAGCCTGTGCTGCGGCTGGCATTGTGGGCATCACCAGGCTGCCTGGCTGAAGTGGGGCAGCTTTAGTGGAAATTGCAGAGAATGTTCCAGACCTTCCCTGGAGCCCTTGAGGCCTTTCTTCCTAGACCCCTTCAAACCCAGATCTCAGGGAGGCATCTCCTGAGACAAAACAGAAAGTACCTGTTTTAGGCAGGACTCTCTGACTGCAAATGGCAGGTCCTTACTCAGATGGGGACAGGGTGATCTGGCCTCAGACCCACATGGATCTTTGATCAATTCCCTTGTCTCTGTTTCTGCTTCTCCTCGCTTGCCAACATCATTCCTATAGGCTAGATGTTCCCACAAGGCTGGAGCCCAGGACAGCTCTGGGATCAAATCTTACCCTGGAGAGGAAAGTGAACTCTTTTCCAGCAGCTGCAGATAGAAAAATTGCAAGGAAGGATCCTGATTAGCCAGGCTTGGGTCCTATTTCCATCCCTGGACCAATCATAGCAGCCAGAGGAATGGGGTACAAGGATTGGCCAACCGTGGGGCATATGACTACCTCTATGGTCAGAGGGTGGAGACTGTCTTAATAAAAGGGTAAAGAGAGGTCTTTGGAGACTAAACCCTCAGATGCCCACTGCTGGAACTTGCCCACACCCTTCATAAGGTTGCCAGCTGTGTCCTGCCATGACGTTATAATACCCACCCCCCTGCTACCCTGCCTCAAGAATCACAGGGTTTTAGGCTCCACCAGCCTTTCCTGAGTTGCTGATGCCTGTCAGTGACATGGCACTTTGGGAGTAAAACGTAAGGATGATGACCATGTGCATCATCTCCGCGATAGAAAGGAATTGACAGTGGCAGCTAAAAAGTCCAGGCTTAGGAGCCTGAATTAGAGATGGAAGGAACTGGAAGAAAACTGAGATCATCCATTTAACATGCTTAACACAGTGCTTGGCACGTGGAAATAGCTCCGTACACTTTCATTGTTACTATAGAAAAAGGAAGACTCATTGAAACATTTGCAGCCAAGTCCACAGATCCACTTTGCTTAGTTTCACGCACATTCTTTCCCAACCTTATTTCTTCTCTCTGACAAGCTATACAACCACCCACTTCCTTAATGTGGCCATTGAAACTCCATTTGCACCACCCTCTTCCCCATTTCTCCCAGGGACAAGAGTTACCACTTTCCAATTTCTTTATTTTTAATTTAATTGTAATTATAGGGGAATTTGTGTCACCTCAGAGCAGTGGGTAGTAGCATAGAATTAATAGTCTGGCTTCAGGGCCATAGGAGCTCCAGGTTCATGTCCAGGCTCAATAGCCAGATCTACAGTATAAGTGCTATGAATTAGTTTATCAAGTTGTGGTCAAATCTTATTATTTTCCCCAATTAATAATTTCAGGAAACATCTGCTTAATTAGCAGGAAGTTCAGTGTCTCACACATACACATCCAAATTATATAAGATTATCCAGGATTTACTCAATCTACAGGAATCAGACTCTACCAAAAGCCAGGAAGAGAATAACCTGTTGTCAGTCTGGTGGAGTGTTGTTTCTGTTGTGGCCACCTGGTGTCACTGTTGAACACTGGTTCTGCACAGCCCACTAAGGAGGCTCAGCTAAGCCAGATCAGTGAGTCCCGGCCTGCTCCAGGAGACTCATTGTGTTTACCTATATAGACAATTTGCTGGCATGTACTGTTTAAAATGTTTTTCCTTGTTAAAAATTGATTTGAGAAAGAGAGGAAGGGAGAAGAGAGAGAGAGAGAAACATCAATGAAAGACCACCGATTGGCCACCTCCTACATGCCCCCCACTGGGGATTTGGCCCATAACCTGGGCATGTGCCCTGACCGGGAGTTGAATTGGTGACCTCTTGCTGCATCAGTCAATGTTCAACCACTGAGCCACACCAGCCAGGTTGGCATGTACTATTTAAAGAATGTTTTTAAGTTTTGCCTCACTTGCCATGGTGTTACCACTAATGGCAAATAAACAATTAATACACAAATAAATAAATACATAATAAACATTCAGTTCCAGAATAGTGGAATGACTTTTTCAAGGTCATCAATCAAGTTAGAGGCAGGGTCAGAGTTCCTGACCTTCACTCAGTGTAGTTTCTACTTCACTTTGTAATTTCTTTACTTAGAAATTAGAGAATGGTATAAAAGCAGTAAATGACCTCTTTATTTTTTGAAGTGAAAATTCCCACAATTTTCCATAGAATAAATGTTGTCAAAGGGAAAGAAAATTAGTCCAGCCGGTGTGGCTCAATGGTTGAGCATCGACCCATGCACCAAGAGGTCGCTGGTTCGATTCCCGGTCAGGGCACATGCCCAGGTTGTGGGCCTGATCCCCAGTGGGGGGCATGCAGGAGGTGGCCAGTTGATGTTCTCTCTCATCAATGTTTCTATCTCTACCTCTCCCTTCTTCTCTCTCTAAAATCAATAAGGAAAAAAAATTTTTTTTAAAAAGAAACATCCATGAGAGAGAACATTGACTAGCCATCTCCTGCACGCCCCCCACTGGGGATCTGGCCCACAACCTGGGCATGTGCCCTGACCGGGAATCGAACCAGTGACCTCTTGGTGCATGGGTCGACACTCAACCCCTGAGCCACACCGGTCGGGTTCATTGATATTTCTATCTCTCTCTTCCTCTCCCTTACTCTCTCTCTAAAATCAATAAAAGAAAAAAAATTGGGAGAGGGAATTAATATTTATTGAATGTATGCCTATTATATGCTAGGTGTTATGACAAGTTATATATATATATATATCATTGCCCTTATTTCTCATACCAGCAGAATAATCCAAATATGTATCACTATTCCTACTTGCAGATTAGAAACATGAGACTCAAAGAAGTTAAGTAATTTGCATACATTTGCAATTCAGACCTTGGAACTCAAGTCTCCCTAAAGTGGGGGGCTCAGGCTTGAGCAGGGTCAAGAGGAGTCTGGGGAGATGGGGAGAAGGGAGCATGACTCAGTAGGACGATCCTGCTGGGAAAGGTGCTAACTAGTGGCTGGAACTCAAACTTCCCTCCCTTGGGCCAGGAGGCCGGCAAGTATGTTTAGGGGTGAGGCAAGAGGCACCCGAGGTGCAGCATTTCGGAGGCACTCACCCTCAGAGCTGTGCGACTTGCGGGACCCTGACAGCGGGGCCTCCTTAGATGCTACATCCTAGGCGCCTCTCTTGCTTTATCTTAGCCCCCGGCCTGTTCAGGACTCCTGCTCGGAGAGGGACGGGAGCAGACCTCCCAGGCGGGGTTTTCAGGGTCAGACTCTCTGACGTCCTCCCCTTCTCTCTGCAGGCCCCCTACACACACTGCCTCTTTCTGCACCAGGGCTGGCCGCTATGCCTGCAGGACAAGGTTGTGCTCCACCTGGCCCCCCTCAATCCCCTCTTGTTGCGCCAGGGTGACTTCTACCTTCAAGTGGAGCCCCAGGAGGAGCAGTCCGTCTGCATCATGATCAAGTGCCTCTCCTTGGACCTCCGCACAGTGGACACAAAACCTGTTCCGGTGTCATCCTACCCAATACTTTTCACCCAAGAGTGGCTGGAGGCCTTCAACAGTGACTTTGAGGGAAGTCCCCTGCACAACTGCCTGGTAGCTTCAGAAGAGGGCATTGCTCCTGTGCCCTGGACCAAGATAGCCAGCCCAGAGTTTGTGGAAGACAAACCCCAAGCAGTGGCTGTCCCCTCCCCGGCCTGGGGTTCCCTTCAATTAGAAGCACTCGATTTGAGTGGCCCTAAAGAGCTACACCAGGCCAGGTCCTTAGGGAGCCAGGTGTTTCTTGGCCAGAGCTTGGCGGCTAAGGGCAGGGCCTATGGGATTAAGTACCCAGGACTCATCAAGGTGGAGCAAGCCAGGCCAGGGGAGGTGGCCTTCAGCATGGACGATGTGGCCAGCCAGTGTGTAGAGGGAGATTACGTGGCTCTCCTGGGCTTTTCCCAAGAGAGCAGAGGAAAGACTCTGAGTAGGGAGGTGGACACATCCCACGGGCGCCCTGCTGGGGCACCGGAGGACCTATCTGAAACTAAAGTTCCTTTCTCTCAAAGGACGCTGCCTCTCCCAGGGGCCAGTCAGGGACCTCATTTGGAAAAGTGTGCTTGTGAAAAGCCAACAAGCGTGGAGAAGGAGACTTGCATTTTGGATATGAGGAGAAAAGTCAACCATAAAGCCCCCTCCCGCAACTCAGAACGCCAGCCCCCGGAGCCCTACCTCCATGTCCTCGAGGACCCGCTACACTGTGCACCTGGCCTCAGGACGGATGTCTCAGAAGAGACAGCTGCCTCCAAGACCCAGGCACTTCTGGGAAACCCCAAGAAGATGGTCCAACTCAGGCCTGGACCCAAACAAACGTCCTCTCCCCGGCTGTGCCCAGCTTCTCCTCCTGCTGCTCCAGCCCTTGACACCAAGATGGGAGAGAGGACCAAACAGGGAAACGGCAGGTTTCCCAAGCCCATGATTGGCCCGGGTCAAAACACCTCCTCTTCCAGATCGCCCAGTCTTGGGCTCAAATTCTCCTTCTTAAAGGGGCAGAGGCAAGCCCCCGTGCCCCTGGAGAAAGCCTCACTCCAGCATGACAGGCCTTGGAAGATCTTGTGTTCACTCTACTCTCCCAAACCCAACCGAGCCAAGTGCTTGGGGAAAGGTAAGATGCCCCCTCTCTTAGCTGGACCGGGGAGCTGTTCTTGGACGGGATCACGTGACACAGTGGAGCAGGCTGTCAGGGACGGACACCCACCTGGGCTGCTCAGTCTCAGCAGTTCAGAGCACAGGGCGACATGTCAAGAGGCTTGAAGTCTTTTGGTTCTGGAACTGAGCAAGGTGTTGTGACTGTGTTATAATGGCTGGAGGCCAGACCCCAGTTGCACCACACACTGGCGGGTGACCTTGGTCAAGAACTTAACTCTCAAAGTTCAGGTCTCCCTCTCTGAGCAGTGGGGGTCTCACCTATCTCCCAGAGTCGTTTTGAGGTTCAGAAATGCCAGAAGGAAGGAGCTTTGCACAATGCCGGGCACACAGTAGATCAGTAGTTTTAAGCTGCTATTATTATTAGTCAGAAGCTCCCCCCGCCCCCCAAGCCACTCCTGAAAAATCCACCTTCTGCCCATCACCTTTTCCTTTGTTGCTGCTTTTCCCCAGCTGGAACGACTCAGACCAAAACATCTGGCCCAGCTGCTGACTCAGGCCCACTGACTGGAGAAGAGGCTGATTTCCCAGAAGCTTCTACAGACCCTCCAGAAAGAGGCCCCGCTGTGGATGAGGAGCCGCCAGGGCCGGAGCCCAGGATCAGGGCTCTGAGTGTGGAGGTCCTCCACTCCGGGATAGCATGCCTGCCAGGTCCTTGGGACCAGAGGGGCAGGTGGAGGTGGTGGGAGGGAGGGGAGAGGTCCCTAAGGGTCCTCAGATGCTGGTGGGTGTGGGGGAAGGCAGGGAAAGTTCTGGAGGTCTGTGTTCTGGACCAAGCCCTGCTGGGACTCAAGTCTCTCATCTTTCCAGTGAAGAAGTTGGATTATACAGGGTGGGGCAAAAGTAGGTGTACAGTTGTTCATATAGAAAATAATACAATAATTAGTGAATAATATAAGAATAGACTCTGTGTTTCATGTACTCACAACTGTAAGCCTACCTTTTCCTGAACCTGTATAAAAGCAAGTTTTAGGTATCCATCCAAAGATCCATCCATCCATCCATCCATCCATTTATCCATCTATCCATCCATCCATTCATCCATTTATCCACCTACCCACCCACCCATATACCCATTGAACATCTATTCATCCATCCACCTATCCATCCGTCCATCCATCCGTCTATCCATTTACCTATCCAAGCATTCATACATATATACATCCATTCTACTTCGGGCGAGGCGGGCAAGGTGGGTGTCGTAGGTCAGGTTCCCTAGAAGCTGAGCCAGAGACAGGGATTCTTGGGAACATGATTTATTTTATTGAAGGTCACTCTCAGGGGAAGGGGATTGAGGACAGCAGGTCAGGGTGGGGCAGGGGCTAAGCAAGGATGTGACCCAACCCCACAGAGCTAGTTTCATCTTAAGGTGCAGGACACTGGCTGTGGTGCCTGCGTCTGTTGCTCATCAACCCAGGCTGCTCCTGGGCTGGGATGCAGGGTGAGCCGTGGTCCAGTTCAGTTGAGGGCAGTTCTCCAGAGAAGCAGGCACCTGTGAGCCATCTACAGCCAATACTTATGGCCGCGGGGGATGGGTGATCTGGTCTGAGGAAGGGTTCTGGGTGGCACGTTAACAGCATCCAACACAGAGGGCATTATCATTGCTGTTCAGTTAATGTTTACTGAACATCTGCTGTGTGCCAGGCCCCGAGCTTAGCACTGAGGATTCAGCAGGGAGCAAGTCTGGCGTTTTCTGCTCTCAGGGAGTCTGTATTGTAGAGGTGGAGAAAATTCAGCTCAGTGTCAAAAAACTTATTACAACTCAAAGTAAAAAATCTTATGACCACGGGGTCATACGGGGGCTGTGGGAGGACAGATGTCTGTGCGACCCCAAAGCTCGTGTCACTAGCTTCACCTTCAGGGTCCCCAGGACAGAGGGAGGAATTCAGGGATGACTTTTCTGAGGAAGTGGCTTTTGAGCTGGGTTTTGAAGGATGACTAAGAGTTTGAAGTTAACGGGGTGGGGAGGAGAAAGAGCATTTCAGGCCGAGGGACCAGTGTGGGCAAAGGCCTGGAGGCCACGGAGGAGGTGGAGAGGGTTGCACCCAAGTTCTCACTGTGCACATGTTCTCTCTCCTCCAGGTGGTCGGGACAGAGAGGGGCGGCCCCTGCTTCTGGTGCCGACCACCCAGGGGGCCTGGGAGGCACCGTGGTGCACAGCCTCGGAGGTCACCAAGCTGCTTTCCTACCTGTGCACAGTCCCCAGGTAAGAGGCTGGGCTGTCTGGCCACTCCATCCCTCCAACCTCTCAGCCCAGGGCCCAGGACAAGGCACCGAGTGGAGAGACACCATATCCTTCTGACTAATCATCTGATCCCAGAGCTAGTCCTCAGCCATGTGCTGGAGACAAAGTAGGACACACCCAGCCCTCGCCATGGAGATCCCAGGCTGGTAGGGGAGACGGACAATATGCAAAAACCTAACCATGGGCGAGCAACTCTCAGGAGTGTTAGTGTGGTGAAGGGCACGGAGGGCTGTTGTAGGTCAGTGGTTTTCCAACTTGAGTTTGCATCAGAGTCAGCTGAAGGGCTGTTAAAACAGATCGCTGAGACACCCCCCCCCCCCCGAGTTTCCGCTTCACTAAGCCTGGGGTGGGGCCCGAGGATGTGCATGTCTAATACGTTTTCTGGTGATCCTGCTGCCGCTGGGCTGCAGACCACCCTTGGAGAGCCAGGGTTGTAGAGTGAGAAGGATGAGTGGACTGATTCCAATCGGAACATCGGGGAAGGCTTCCCGGAGGAGGTGACAATTGAGAGCTGACATCTGAGTTATAAATATTTGTTGAACAAATGGAGAGCGAAAGAATGAGTGAATGAATGATGAGTGACCCAGGCTGATTTTGAACCCCACCCCTCCACCCCACCATTCAGACTTCATGTTGGACTGGCTAGGGAAGAGGTACCATTCCTCTGAGTCCCAGCCACAGTCAGATGGCCTCAAACGTGCTGTTTGCTCAGGGCTATGGCTACAGACCCCAACCCAACCTAGAGGTTCTGCTGCTAGGGGTAGGAGGAAGAGGGACGGAAGGAACCTGCTCCATGGACTCCACCCCATGGGAGGCAGCACTGCCACCAGCTGGCACTGAGACTTTTCGTCTGAGGTGAAGTGGCTTTTCTGACCTCACAGGGAGATGGGACCCCTTTTTCAGTGCTGAGAAGTGGCCAGCGTGGTGCACAAAACCCTGGAATACCACCAACTTGCTGTGTGACCTTAGGGCAGTAGCCTTCCCTCTCTGAGACTCACCTGAAAAAAACGGGACGATCAAGTGGCTCTGAGGACCGAGTGCGGTCACAAGGGGTGGAGGGGAGCTGCAGTGTGAACTGTGGAAGGCGGTGTACTCAGCCCCTGTGTGCTGGGCTTGCTTTCTCTCCTGCTTTGAACCAACGTTGCTGGGCATCTGCTCTGGGCCTGGCTTCATGCTGGGCCGCTCTAGGCACCTGGACACTCCTCACATTGGGTCCTGAGCCCTCGAGGCCTGCAGGTGCTGGGCTGAGGCAGGTGTGGAAACAAACTGCTCTCCCAGCAGGGGCGTAGCCAGAGGCAGCCAGCAGGGGACATGTAGTGAGAGACCTGGTGTCACCCCGAGAGCCTCTTCTCACTGCCACCTCGCCGCTCGGTGCCTCAGTTTCCCCTTGGAGGATGGTGATAATGGGACACTGCTATCCCTCATACTCTGCACAGTCACTAAGTGCTTTACAGGGCTGAATTCATCCACGCTCACCACAGTCCCGTGAGGCCGGAACCAGCATTACCCTCAGTTACACATGGGCTTGGACGCCCAGGGAAACGCCACAACTTGCCCAGGTGACCAGGCACCACGGCAGTGCCACAGCTCTACCCCATGCTGGCCACCTCTTCTTCTGTCTGTGAGCTGGCTCCTTGTAGGGCTTGAAGGCAGTGGGTGTATTTTCCCCACCTCCCTGATCATCAGAATGGACACCAGCACTTGGGAGCCCACAGACTCCCTGGCTCTGCCTCTTACAGCCAGATGTCTGGGGGGATAGGGTGGGCCTGGGGGTGAGGGATCAGTATTTTAACAAGTTCTGACAACGAGCCAGTTTGGGAAATCCAAGGTGATCACTGAAAAGTACAATGTGAACCAGTTAGGGTGTTCTGGCTGCAAGTAACAAATCCCAATTCAAAACGTCTTATCTGGTAAGGAAATTTATCATTCTAGGTCTCTGCCTTATAGCCCTTTGTAAGAACTTTGTCAAGGAGAGACTTCTTTCCCAGAAGTCCCCCAGAAAACTTACCCTCATGTCTTATTGGCCAGAAATGTCACATGACCTCTATCTAAACCAATCATTGGCCAGAGGAATTAGATCCTACTGTTGGCCTCAACCAATCAGAAACTAGTCTTTGTGGGTGGGGAGGAGGGCATGGTTACACAGAGGAAATTGGATTCTAGACCAAAATGAGCGTTCTGCTCATGCGAAAGGGGTGGGTAAATGCTGGGTGACACCCACTGCAACTGGGATAGTGCTTATAGTCTATGATTATTAGGATGGAAGAGAGGGCTGTGTGAGGAACGTGGGAGCATTGAAGAGGGAGCCATGGGCTCTGGAGAAGAATCATGGAGGCCTTCCTGGAGGGAGGGGCATTGGATTTTGGTCTTGCAGGATGAAGAGTCCACCAATTAATCAAGGTGTCTGGCAGCCAGTTTTCCTAGCCTTCCACTAGTTCCTTCCCCCTAGAGGGCCTGGTTTATCCAGCAAGATTGCCATTTCTGTTTGTCACCCACAGGCCAGAAGATAAAACCAAGGGTCTGGCAGTGGTGATTGATGCCAGGAAGCAGCCTCTACACCCTGGTCTGGTCAGTGCCTTGAAGGCCACCCAGGTGAGTGGGAGGTGGACAGCATCAGCCTAGCAAGTCTTGGGAGCACCAGGGGCCTTCTGATCTTCATGCAGCCCAGGGGCCTCAGAGCTGGGTCCGGGCCCCCAGGCAGGCACTCCTATTTGCAGAAACCCCAACCCCAACAGGCTTGAAGAGGAAGGCCGTTCATTGGTTCATGTGACTCTACAGTCCAGGCATTAAATCCAACTTCAAGTATGGCTTGATTCAGGGACTCAACTATCATCATCAAGATCTGGTTCTTCTCTCTCCATTTCTGGCCCTGTTCTCCTGGGAGAGTACCCTTCTCAGCCAGGCCCCCTTCTTGGTGGCCATTTGGCTCCCAGAAGCGCTAACTTCACCTGGTCTCTCATTCAAGTCCAATAGGAAAAAGTGAAGTCCCAGCAAAAATTTCTTTATATTCCAGAAATCCCAGCAAAAGTTTCTTTGTCTCTCCTTAACCCTGATTAGCTCAGGTGTCTAATCCATCAACCAATCTCTGGGACCAGGGGAATGCAACACCCTGATTGGCTTAGACTTAGGTCACATGAACCTCATGAACTGAGAATGGGGGAGGGAAGAGATTCCTAACTAGTTGGTATGGGCAGCAGAGTAAACGGAAGTTTGGCTTATGCTTACCTCAGGGTCTGATCTCCTCCTCCTTGCTGTATAGATGGGGAAACTGAGGTCCAGAGGGACGGGTCACATAGAAAGTTTGCGACACAGGTTGGACCTGCTGTTCTCTTGAGGTCCAATGACTCACCCTCCATACCTGCCACACAGGGGTCCCAGCCTCGGGCAGCCCGCCTCCCCTCCCCAGGCCTGTGGCCTGTTTGCTTGCACCTTAGTGGGGAGGCGCAGTGGCTCAGCGAAGGCCTGGGCAGAGCAGCTCGGACATGCTTCTTTCTCACAGGCTCAGGACCCAGGCTCCATCCATACCATACTCTTCCTGGGGGAGAAGGAGACCGCCCTTCTGCTGGAGACATTACCTGACGTCCAGGTGAGGGGCAGCGTCAGCCCGGGAAGAGAGGAGTTTCTGAGTTTGCACTGAGCTGAGCTGAAGAACTGCGGAAGTCCTGAGCCAGGCGAGGCCCTGAAACAATGCAGTGCAGGTCAATACATGCAAGGCCCGGGTGCTACAGCTCTGCGGCCCTGCCCCCGTCATAGAATTGTTTCTCTCTGGCGATTCTAGCAACACCTGGCGGGCGTTGATCACTGCGTGATCGAGAGCTGCACACGGCACGAAACCTGTTCAAAACCCTTCATCTAGCCACCCCCTCCCCTTTCTTTTCAGATGAGGAAACTGAGGCCCAAGGCCACACAGCAAACTGGAGGCAGAGGTGCCTTCTCCCCTGATCTTCCTGTATTTCTCTCCCTAGTTTCTCAGCATCTCCCGCTCAGATGCAGAGTTGATGTGGGACGTTGCAGAGCCTGGCAGCGCCCTTTAATTAGTGCCACGTACCGTAGTCGTAAGTGCGGGCATCCGGTGCTCTGCCCTGCTTCGGGAAATGACTCCTTACTCCTGGTTAGTGACGAGGCACACTGTGAGCTAGAGGTATGCTTTTCAAGCTAACGTGCTTACGAATCACTTGGGGAGCTTGTCAAAGGGCAAGTTCCAATGGAGTAGTTCTAGTTGGGGCCCGGGACTCTGCATTTCTAACATGCTCCTCGGTCATGCTGATGCTGCTGGTCCATGGACCCAACTTTGAGTGCCAGGGATAACTAGTGGGTTTCCCAAACAACAAACCTGCCCAGTCCCACACTTAGGGGATACTGTTGGGCTTTGGTGACCTTTCTCCACAGCCTCAAGGAGGGACAGAATCTTGGTGGGTCACCAGAGAATGGTACAAGGGAAACAGAAGTGATATGACAAGAGCCAGCTCCAGCTGATGTGTGTGATTACCTGGAGGGCCGGGCCGGGCGAGAGCCCAGCTCAGAGGGAGCGAGTTCAGTGACTGATGAACCATGTCGGCCTTGGGCACAGGCCGGGCCAGTGCCGTGTGAGCGCTGTTTCTGTGCTATTCTTCATCCAGGGTCTGGTTCTGAATTTTGATGTTTCAGAATTCGCAGAGAAGATCCATTGCCCAGAAAGCAGCTCTTAAAGCCAGGGGCAGACTCGCGCCTGGAGGTGGAGTGGTGCCGGGGCTGGGATCTGGACAGGACTGGCTCAGATGTCTGTCCCCACACTGGGTCCTCCTGACACTCCTTTCGTCTGCAGGTAGAGGTGCTGACCTCCTTAAAGGCCCTCGGCCACCACGTGGACCCCAGCCAGCTGCCCGCAGCCCTGGAAGGCTCCTTCCCCTACAGCCACAGCGAGTGGGTGCAATTCTTCCAGGTGTCTACCGCCGCAGCCTTTAGCCCCGCCTTCTTCCTCCCGTCAGTCTCCTGCCCCGTGGACCCACCCACACTGTCAGGTTCAAAACTAGTCACTCAGCAAACATTTAAAATGAAGGTGCAGAGTGCAGTGATTGAGAGCTCGGGCTCTGGGGCCCGACTGCCTGGGTTCCAATCCCAGCTCTGCTGTGTGACCTTGGGTAAGTTACATACCTTCTCTGAGCCCTTTTCCTCATCTATAAAATGGTGAGGGTGATCCTAGTCCCTCCTCAGGGGCTGTCGTGAGCAGTAATTGAGTTAATGGGGGTAAAGCGCTTAGAAGAGTGTCTGGCATGTGCTACAAGTTATGTCTGTGTTCACTGAAAATAAACAGCTCTGTACCCACAAACTCAGGAGCTCGGGGTGCGGTGGGGGAGGCAGACGTGTTCCCTCCTGTCAGAGGGAGAAAATGAGGATACTGCCAATGCTGGGTTCCTTTCCTGTGTGAGCTCAATCCCTCCTCACCCCAACTCTCCAAGGGACATTTCACGTCCAAGGTAACACACAAGAACACACAGGATGGGGGCTCAAACAACAGTCCCCAGACTGCCAGCCTACCCTGCCCCAAAACCGTGCCCATCAGTGCCCGCCCAGGCTTTCTCTAGACCAGGGCTGCTCCCCTCAGCACTAATCACATCTGGGGCCGAATAACTTCCTTTTTGGTCTCTGCCCACTCTGTCCATGACAACCAAAATGTTTCCAGACACTGGCAATGTCCCCTAGGGGGCAAAAGTACCCCCACTGAGAACCACTGGTAAATGCTAACAGTCTACCACGTGATCCTCCTCTTTTTAAAATCGTACCTGTTTAAAAATAGGCAGTATGTTCCAAATTCAAGTGGTACAAAAGGGTACTGAAAAATCTCCTTTCCTCCTTGGCCTCTGGGCCCCAGTTCCCTTCTCCAATTAATCGAGTGACTTTAGAACTACGTTTTGTTTTGAAACCTTCCCTTTAGCCCTGGCCGGTTTGGCTCAGCGGTTAGAGCGTCGGCCTGCGGTCCAGAGAGTCCGGGGTTTGGTTCCCGCTGAGGGCACGTACCTCAGTTGCAGTTTGTCCCTGGCCCCGGCTGGGGTCCTGTGGGTGGCAACCACTTGATACGTCTCTCTCACATCGATGTTTCTCTCTCACTTCCTCCTTCTCTCCCTCTTACTCTATCTCAAGATAAATGCAAAAATGTTTTCCGGTGAGGATTAAAAGAAACAAAACAAACAAACAAAAAAAACCTTCCCTTTAAGTGAAATCTTACCACCTATAGACCCAGAATATAAAACTGGGAAGATGAAGACATGACACTGTTTGATCCTCACACCAGCCTGTAAGGCAGGAACTACTGTGATCCTATTTCAGAGGAAGAAGCTAAGCACAGAGAGGTTCAGTAACTTGCCCAAGGCCTCACAGCGAGTGAGTGGTGGAGCTGGGCTGAAGTGGGACGTAACAGAGGATGTCTCCCCTCCCCCACCTCACCCCCCTCTCCCTCCCCTCCCCCAAGGTATCCCCGCTGGCCTGTCTATCTTCTCCCTCTCATTCCCAGCTCCAGTGGTTGGTTCTCAGAGTGTGGTCCCTGGACCAGCAGTGTCAGCATCACCTGGGAACTTGTTACAAATTTACATCCTCAGGCCCCACCCCAGAGGAACTAAGTCAGAAACAGGGGAGTGGGGCTCAGCAGCAGGGACATAACCAGCTTTCCAGCTGATTCTGAAGCAGCCGAAGTTTCAGGGCCACCACTAATGCCCCTGCTGCGTCCCCCTGGGTGGGGGAGGTGCCCTCCGCACTGGCCCAGGCTGACACCCCACTCTGGCCTTCTGTCCTGCAGAAGTCGGACCCTTTCCTTGCCGACCTCCGCCAGGCGTCCTCCCTGCTACAGGCGTCCATCAAGGAGTTTGAGAAGGGTGACCCTCCTGGAGGGGCACAGGTGAGCCAGGGGCATACCCCACATTTCACAGACCAAGGACTCAGTAAAGGGGACAGCCAGGGTGGCCAGGATCATGTTTTTCATTTATTCATTTGACTACTATGCATTGGCTACTCATTGTGTGCACCGGAGACCCAGCCCGGGGCAAGCCGACTCGTCCCCGCCTGCATGCAGTTCACGGTACAATGGCAGAGGTAGTTGCTAAAAAGCGAACAAAGAAATGGACATGTAGTAACAACCCGGGCCCAGTGCTTTGAAAGTAAGATTGAGAAAGACAAGAAGGAGGGAGGGCCTCCCTGAAGAGATGGTGTTTAAACTCAGGCCTGAAGGATGAGAAGGAGCCTGCATGGGAATATGAGGGGGACGGGGCTCCAGGTGGAGGGCACGTGTGTGCAAAGGCCCCGCGGCGGGATGATGCTTGGTGTGCTCAGGAATAGCTTGGAGGCCAGCGTGGAGCAGAAGGGGGAGGGGGAAGGAGGGAGGAGAAAACTAGAAGGTCTTCTGGATCCAGCGGGGGCTGTATCAAGGATTGGGTGGGGATTTCCTGTAAGTGGGCAGGGAAGCCACTGGAGAGTTTTATTTATTTATGTAGTTAATCCTCACCTGAGGATATTTTTTCTACTAATTCTTGGAGAGAATGGAAGAGAGAAAAAGAGAGAAACATTGATGTGAAAGAAACACATAGATCCGTTGCCTCCCATACGTGTCCTGACTGGGGCCGAGGTTCAAACCTGCAACCCAGGTACATCCTCTTGACTGGGAATCGAACCCCCAACCCTTCGGTGCATGGGCCTCAGTGCTCTAACCATTGAGCAACACTGGCCAGGGCCACACTGGCAAGTTTTTTTTCCCTTCCTCTTTATTGATTTTAGAGAGAGGGGAAGGGAGAAGGAGAGAGAGAGAAATATCCATGAGAGAGAACATCAATTAGCCACCTCCTGCACGCCCCCCACTGGGGGTTTGGCCCACAACCTGGGCATGTGCCCTGACCAGGAATCAAACTGGCAACCTCTTGGTGTATGGGTTGATGCTCGACCACTGAGCCACACGTGCCTGGCAACACTGGAGAGTTTTAGACAGTGCTGCTTGGATTTGCACTTTGATATCCTTCCAGCAGCCGTGTGGAGAACAGACTGCAGAGGGAGCCAGAGTGTAGCAGGTAGACCAGTGAGGAGGCTGGGATGGGTGTGCCAGCGAGATGATGGCACTGGGACCGGTGAGATGGCCGTGGTTGAGAGGAATGGCCTGGGGAGATGTTTTAGAGATAGAAAGGAGAGACCTTCTGTAAAACCTGGAATGCCAAACTGGGAGAGTCGGGCATGATCAGGGTGTGAGAGCCTGGAAGGTTGTAGAGGGAGAGCAGGGATCGCTTCTCAGGCCACCTCCCTTACACTGGCAGGAGGCCTCCAGGTGTCTGAACAAGTCCAAGGAGCTGATGGAGGCCGTGCTGAGGGACCCAGATCTTCTGGGCCTCCAGCGGGAAGGTGGAGCCACCCTGGCCAGGCTGCAGCAGGAGGCCAGCAGGCTGGACTTCAACCCAGACGTCAGGTACGGACACCCAGTCTTTCCCTCTCCCACCCCACCCTGTTTCCTGGATGGGAGTTGGGAGCTGGGGACACATGGGGTGGCCTTGCCGATGCCCAGGATGGGGATGTTCGCAGGGCCCATGTCCTGTCCCGTCTCTGCTGCCCTCCTTCAGCCCCGGTCATCTTCAGACTGGGGTGGGCACTGGCGGTCAGCCCAGCCTGTTTCTGGTCATGCTCACAGACCAACCACTGTCTCTGACCAGATACTGAGCTGAGCCTGGCCAGGAGAACCTCACGGTGTGGGAGGGGTCTCTGAGCCACAGAATAAATAATAAATATTCCTGGAGAGTACCGATTTTCTTAAATTTTGGGGTGAGGGTAGGGGAAAATCAATAATTAAGCCAGTCAGTAATTGGAAATATTTTATTTCTGCTAGAACACACAGTTACAAAGTTTGTATCAGCTTCCAGGGACAACATGTTTATTTGACCGACACCTAGACAGGACTTAGTATGAGCACAGCATTGTTGTAAAGGCTTTATAGATAGTAACCTCTTTAATTCCCACCCACGAGGTGGATCCCAGTAGTGTCCTCATTTTACAGTGGAGCCTGAGGCTCAGAGAGAGGTTAGGTGACTTGGCCAGGGTCACACATCTGGGTTGTAGTGGGGCCAGGACTTGAAGCCAGGCAACTTGGTCTAGAAACTTGAACACACCACCCTGATCTGTGCCCACAGGCAGAGTCATGCTTATATGAGCAGTGGGCAGCAGCAGGCCCTGGTACCAGGTGTGGAATTGTCTCCCTGCCCCTCATGTGGCCTGGTGGGGCTGATTCCCAGAATGTCCCCATCTCACTGGCTGACTGCCAGGCTCTTGTCAACCAGAGGTCCGTCCCTACAGGCCGTTGGCCGCTGGCAGCTCCACCAGGGGGCGCTGTGGTCCCATGTGAGCCACTATGCGCGTTTTTTTCCTGCAGATCGGTCCCTGCAGTTCCCGCCTGTGGCCCCTTTCTCCCTCCCACTGCCAGGCAAGCTGGCATTTTCCTTCCCCTCGCGAAGTGGGACCCTCACCTGAAAGGGCAGTGACCCGTGGCCGGGGGTGGCAGTCAGATGAGGAGGCCCAGAGCAAGGTTCCCTCCCAGCAAGCAGGCTTCCTTTCATTCCATCTCTTTCTCTTCTTCCTTCTGAAGGAAGACCCCATTAGGGCAGAGGGGGGTGGACAGGATTTGCGGGGTGTCAGGAATACCTCGAGATTCCTCTCCTTACCCAAGTCTTACCACCCCGGATCCTGTCCACAGTCCTTCCTTTATGACCTGCTGGCTTTGACCATTTAAAAAAGCATGTTCAGAAAAAGCCGTGGACTGGGCTCCAATTCAGACTGCCATGCTTGAGAGTCAGCTCCTCCCTCTGGCCCTCAGTTTTGCCATCTGTCAAGTGGAGGCCCGGTCAGCGGGTGTTGCAGCTACTCACTAGCACTGCAATGGAAATCAGAGCCAGCAAACACTGTGCGGAGCCTGCGTTGGGTGTTTTGTACGCCTGCGGGCTGGTTCTCAGCCCTGGATGCACCCCGGGACCTCCCGAGGAGATTTAGGAAACACTGGTGTCCGGGCTGCGCTCAGACTGGATTCAGCTGGTCTGGGGTGGACTGGGACATGGAGATGTTTAAACCTCCCAGGGTGAGTTTTAACGTGTAACCTTGTTGAGAGCCAAGGCGTTAGATCATTTAGCAAGCGGGCTGTGAAGTGGGTTCTGTTACCTCCACTTCTGAGAGGTGAAGAAATAGGCACAGAAGGTTGAGAAATGTGCACAAGTTCCCATGGCCAGAAGGCAGCAGGGCTGGGATTTGAACCCAGATCTGTCCAGCTCAGTTCATACCCTCCTAGGTAAAGGGAGGGTCATTTGGTTTCCTGCTGTGTCTGCTGGTCTTCCCAGTCTCATGAAAGACCAATGCTGAGGCCCAGAGAGGTTTAGGGACCTGCCCAGGGTCACACAGTACATAGGCAGCTAGAATACCCAGGTGAGGTCCACAAAATCACTGGGAGTTGTTGGCGGGGGGGCTATACATACTAGGGAGGGGTGCATCCTGGGAATTTTCTCACCCTCCTCTGCCTTTCAGGAGCCATCTGGCTGAAGCTGCTGCCCTCTATAGCCTCATGGACGAGCAGCTGCATGTCCTGGTCACCACATCGAATCACCTCCTGGGGAGGCTAGAGCTCCGCATCCGCATGGGCCGCCTGGAAGCGGCCATTCGCCAGGTGAAAGGGGGGCTTGTGCTCCAGGCTCTGCCCCAGCCAGGCACTGGCTCTGGTGTGAGGACATGCGCCCCTCATGTCTCAACCACCCTCCCCTGTGCCAGATCAGCAACTGGATGGAGCAGGAAGGAAGCCGGTGTCTGCAAGCGCTGACCCCCAAGGACGGAAGCTTGGAGACCGTGGAGAAAGCTCACGTCAAATTTGAGGACTTCTTCCTTCAGGCTGCAGTGCGTTCCTAAAGCTGGGGAGCAGGAGCGGGGCAGCTGGAGGGGCAGCAGGGGGCAGCAGCCTAGGACGAAGGTGTGGAGTGGGCAAGGGCAAGAAAACTTCCAAAGGCAGTGAGGAGCCCTGGGATCATAGCAGGTTCAGTTTAGGTGCTCTCTCCTCCAGGAAGCCTTCAGGGACCACCACGTCCAAAGATGACTCATCTCAGAATCCCTCTGGGAACTCCCAGGACAGTGGGGGGTGGGGACGGGGAACAAACAGAGAAAGGGAAAACTGTGGGGGCACAAAGACTTTGGGGTCAGGGAAGTTTTCTAGAAGAAGATGACACTAAGCAGAGCCCAGCTAGGCAAAGTAAACCCTCGGCAAAGGGCCAGGTCCCCATTGTACAGATGAGGAAACTGAGGCTCAGGAAGTCCCATAACTCAGCAGAGGGGCAGTGGGAGGTTCCTGACTCTGGGGAGGCTTCAGCTAAGGCAGGAGCTGAGTGACTGTCCTTCCTCTCCCTACTCAGGCCCAGTACCGACAAGGCCTGGAACTGTCCAAGCAGGCGGCCCAGCTGGGAGCTGTTGCTGGAGGGGCCATCGAGGCAGAAGGAACAGAGATCCCGGAGCTGGCAGCCTTCGCCGCCACTCAGCGGACCTTCCAGGCTAAGCTGACCCACTTCTACATGGCTGCCGAGCGGCAACGCACAGACCTGGAGACGCTGCTCCAGCTATACCACTTCTGCAAGAAGGTGAGCCTGGTGGCCCATCTGCACCGACCACCCTGCAGCTGGGAGGCCGGGAGCAGCCCAGACACGCACTCGGCTCTGCACCATCCATTCCATGGCCCAGTACCTCCATTTTCCAGAAGGGAAGCACAGTTTGAGAGGTTAAGTCACCCTGGTAAATTAGATCAGAGGTCCGGCTGATCTCTGACCCCAGCTTGACTCACTACATGAGGCACCCTCCCAGCCACCCTCAGAGATCACCTGCTTCTTCTTCTTCTTCTTCTTCTTCTTCTTCTTTTTTTTATTCAGATAGAGTGGGAGGGAGAGAGAGAGAGAGAGAGAGAGAGAGAGAGAGAGAGAGAGAGACATCGACGTGAAAGGTACACATCGAGTGGCCTCCACCCACACGACCTAACCAGGGCTGGGGACAAACTGCAACCGAGGTACGTGCCCTTAGCAGGAACCGAACCCGGGTCTCTCTGGACCACAGGCCAGTGCTCTAACCGCTGAGCCAAACCGGCCAGGGCTCACCTGCTTCTTTTTTTTTTTTATCCTCACCCGAGGATACTTTTCCATTTTTTGTACAGATAGAGTGGGAGGGAGAGAGAGGAAGGAGAGAGAGAGAGAAACATCGATGTGAAGGGACACATCGAGTGGCTGCCACCCGCACGACCAACCAGGGCCGGGGACAAACTGCAACCGAAGTACGTGCCCTTAGCGGGAACCGAACCGCAGGCCGACGCTCTAACCACTGAGCAAAACCGGCCAGGGCTCACCTGCTTCTTAAACGTTGGGATTGGGGGCAGGAGTCTAGAGATTTCTGAGAATCCAATCAAAACCATAGACTCTCTCTTCACACATAGGTCCCTGTAGGCGACTTTGGTCTTGCCTCACTCCTCTGTTGCAGATTTGGAGAAACAGCATCAGAGAAGGGCTGTCACGTAGCCAAGGTCACAGAGCAAGCCCGTGGCACCATTATAGTGCTCTTTCCCATGCCGACACAGACGGTGCGAGTGGAAGAGGGACGGACAGTTGGCCGAGGTGGCCTGCTCAGAACAGAGGCCTCAGTCCTAGCTAGGAACCCAGAGTTTGGTCAGGAGGGCAGAGGAGAGCTACTGTGGTGGGGTGGGGGGTGGAGAGCCAGCACAGAGTGTTGGGGTGGGAGGCAAGAGGAAATCTATTACTTTACCTCTATCATCTCTCGGCAACTCAGTTTGGCAAGGTTGATCAGCCCATTTTACAGATGAGGAAACTGAGGCCCAAGGAGGGAAAGGGCCTTGGCCAAGGCCACATAGCTGGAGAAAAGAAGAGCTGGAATGTGAACATCGATGTGCCCATGCCTTTTAGCATGCCCTGTGCTCTTCCCCAAAGGCGGGGAATGACAGCCAGTGGGCCATGTCCAAGCAGCACCACCACAATGAAGTTTAGATGATGATTATGAGGGTGGCTCGCGTGTTGACTGTTCCCACACCACAGCCTCCTATTAAGTGCTCCACAAGGCTTACCCGATTGAATTCGCACCACATCATTATGAGGGAGGGGTGCTAACATTGTTTCCATTTTACAGATGAGGAAACTGAGGCCAAAGAGGAAAGTGCCTGGCTCAAGGCCCCCACAGAGGGCCAATGGTCAAGCAGGATTTGACTTAAGAGCCCCCATCCCTCCTAAATCTCTCCTAAACCCTTCACTTTCTGATGGGGAAACTGAGGCCTAGGGGGACAGGGGTGCAGCTGTGACCCAGCTTGGGACAAGAACCCACATCTCTGGCCCGGGCCCAGTGCCCTCAGCTGCCCCTCACCGCTGAGGACAGAGCGTGAGAAGAGCCTGAGCCCGCCCCCAGCTGTCGGGCCAGCCCGCCATACAGGGGACAGAGAACACAGGACCTTCAGAGGGCTGTGGGAAGGACTCCGGTCAGTGATGCCAGAGGCGCTGGGAGGACAGGCCACTCTCTGTCTCCCTGGGGCAGCAGGCAAGGGACACAGATGTGGGCTGTGACCGCGAAGGGATCCCTCACTCCGAACTGTACCCAAGTCAGAGAGCGAGGCAGCTTATGCCTGTGTGGGCTGTGTGACCTCAGAGACGGTCTCTCTACTCTGGGCCTCAGCTCCTCATCGATGAGGATGATGATGATGATGATGATGATGACGATGATGATAACGATGATGATAACGATGTTTCCGTAGTTCTTATTACGTATCCTGGTTCCAGTCATTCTAAATCTTTTTTTTTTTTTTTAATCCTCTCCTGAGGACATTTTTCCATTTTTTGTTCAGATAGAGTGGGAGGGAGAGAGAGGAAGAGAAAGAGAGAGAGAGAGAGAAACATCGATGTGAAAGGGACACATCGAGTGGCTGCCACCCGCACGACCAACCAGGGCCAGGGACAAACTGCAACCGAGGTACATGCCCTTAGCGGGAATCGAACCCAGGTCTCTCGGGACCGCAGGCTGACACTCTAACCACTGAGCCAAATCAGCCAGGGCGGTTCCAGTCATTTTACACATCATTTTATTGTCACACCAACCCCTGAGGCAGGTACGGTTATCGTGCCCGTTTTGTGCCGAGGAAGCACTGAGAGGTCAAAGCACCCACCCAGGGTCACACAGCTTGGAAGTGGCAGAGCTGAGACTCTCACTCGGATCAGCCGGCTCTCGTGCCAGCCTTGCCGGGTGGAATTACATCGCCGAGAGAATTAGATTCAATGTCAGGAACCTCCTCACCCACCCGGAGCTTTGCTCAAATTTGGAATTATGATTTTTACCACCAATATTATTATCATTAATAACGATAATGCCTCCTGGGTTAAGGAGATCAGGAAGCTTCTCCCTTGCTTGGTGTCAGCCCCGTTGGCCTTCCCTGGGGAAACCGAACTTGCTCCGGCTCTGAGGTTTTGCCTTTGCTGTTCCCTCACCTGGGAATGCTCTTCCCGTCGACCGGCTGGCTTCTCGTGTCTCTTTCTTCTGTGCTTAGCTCACATGTCCCCTGCTCACGGAGACCCTTCCTGACCACCTAGCACCTGCCCCCTCTCTCATCACCCTGTGCTTACTGCTTCATGAAATTATCCTGTTGCCTCATCAACTGCTCGTCTCTTCTCTGTCACCTGTGAGGTGAGCTCCCGAGGCAGCAACTGGGTCAGTTCACCGTGCCCGGTGCAGGGCCAGCACCCAGAGGGGCGTGGTGGACACGGGCAGCCTAGCCAGGTGGCCGGAGGGAGGAAGGCTGTGGATGTGTGTGAAGCGTGGAGTCGGACCCAGGACTAGAAGTCGTAGAGGAGATCCAGCCCTGACCTGAAGTCCCCCTGTGGCCTCTCTCGCTGTCTGACCTGGCCAAGCCCCCTCTCTGGCCCTGAATTTTAACCCGCACAACAAGGGTTTGGTCAAGATGATTCCTGCAATGTTATCCATCTCTGTCCAGCTCAGCCGGGAAGAGGAAGTCCTAGACAGACAGACTGCAGACAGACAGACGGCCCAGCCCAGTGCCGGGCCCGGCCCTGGGCGGAGAGCATGCGTGCAGCAGCGTTGGCACTAAATAATAATAACACGATTGTGCCACTAACGGAGATTTATGGAGCCCTTTCCCAGCCATGAGCTGCGTGCGCTTCTGCGAATATGAAGCCATTTATCTAAAGACAAGTTCCCTTAATCCACGGAAAGATGGTTTCCTCGGAGAAAATGGTTCTCCAATCCCCACAGCCTAACAGCTCGCTGTCGGCTTCTAAATTAATGGAGAGAAAGATGATGTTTTTCACGAGCTGCTGGGAATGGTCTGGCCCCTGTGCAGCCTGCAGACATTTTGTGGGTGAAGTGGGGACAGGCAGAGTCCTAAGTGGGGCAGAGGGGCTGGAGTGAGGGGGCCGCTGGGCCCAGGTGGGCTGATGGTCTCGCTGATGACAGCAAGGGCCTGGCCCTGCCTAGGCCAGTTTCTCCTGCACAAGGGGATGTTTAGAAGCTACTCCCTGAGTTCAAATCCCAGCTCCTCCCTGACTGGCAATGTGACCTGGGCAAGTGATTTCATGTCTCTGAGCCTCAGTTTCGTCCTCTGTTAAATGGGCTGTTTGTACAGCTGAGTGCGTTCAGACGGAGACACACAGAGCCTGGTGGACAGGCGGAGCTCGACAAGCATCAGCCAGACCCCTCTCTCAGTACCACTCATAAGGGAGCAATGCAATCCAGGAATCCTAATATTTAGCTTTCAAAAAGCTTTAAAAATTTTTTTTCTTTATTGACTTTAGAGAGAGAGGAAGGGAGAGGGAGAGAGAGATAGAAACATCAATGAGAGAGAACATCAACTGGCCACCTCCTGCATGCCCCCCACTGGAGATTTGGCCCACAACCTGGGCATGTGCCCTGACCGGGAATCGAATTGGCGACCTCTTGGCGCATGGGTCAACGCTCAACGACTGAGCCACACCAGCTGGGCTCAGGAAGCTTTTTATGATCATCTGGTACAATCTTCCATTTTACAGGAGAAACTGAGCCCTAGAGAGGCCTCTGTCCTTGCTGGCCCACACGTATGTCAGACCAGCCATGCCTGAGTTCCCCGGGGTGCTGGGGACTGGTTGCCGGTGGCAGGTGTGTACCCTGGGGAAGAGCGGGAACCACAGTCATCACCATCAGCAAAGGAAACCACAGCCACCTGAGGGGGCCCTAACAATTTGGGGGCATATTATTAATGCAGTCCAGCAATGCTTCCTCTTCGAGTCCTCCCTCTGCGCGGAGAAGCCTATCCTGTCCTCACGGAGCCCCCGTGGTCCCTCTCTTGCCTGAACCCACCTCCCTCTCTTCCTGTCTCCCAGATGACCTGGTTCCACATGGACTGTCAGGACCTGATGACCCAGCTCCGGCTGGGCAAGGATCGAAAGGCCAGCCACGGGGACCAGCGCCGCCTCCACCGCTACCTGCAGCGCCTGTCGTCCGAGTTCCCCGCTGAGAAGCTCAGGGCCATGGGGCTGCAGGCGGCCTCCCTGGGCCAGGAGGGCCTGGGCCAGGACCTGTGGGCGGAGGCCCGGGTGAGGCACGGGGAAATCCAGGCCCTCCTGAAGAAGGCATTGGCCCACTGTCCGTGCCCACTGGGGCCCACTGCCCAGCTGGCACCCCTGGAACTACGAGGGACAGCTGCCGAGGGCCAGGGTGTGAACGGAGAAGTCACTGCTAAGGGAAGGCAGGGCCTGCCCTTCCAGGACTCCCTGGGCCTGGATCGGTCACCAAAGTCCCGTTGGCCTCCTCGGGCCCCGAGACGGGGGCACCGAAACCTGCAGGCAGGCCCTCTGCCGCTGGACACTGGCCAGGCCCTGGCGGCCGATGAGGGCACGGGCCCGCGCGAGCCCCCCGATGCCGCCCCCGAGCGCTTTCTCTCCACCTTCTCCTGGCAGCCTTTTCCCAGGCAGAGTCAGACCCCTCACCCCGCCGGGGGCAGCTCCTCCTCCGAGGGCACAGACTCACGGACGTCTCTGGAGGACTCACCCCAGACAAGCCCCCCTGCCTCCCTCTAGCTCCAGGGGATGCTGGGCTGGGCCAGCTGCAGAGACCGAGCCCCTCAGGACGGTCCGGAGCACTCTGTGCGTGTGGCCTGTGCCGAGGGGCCAAGAACGGCACCAGGGAGCTCTGGGCAGACCCACCCTCGGGAGGGCAGGGTGCAGGGACTGTGGGGTGGCTCCCTCACCCCAGGACGGACCCTTCCAGAGGTCTCAGCCTGAGGCGGGCCACATGCCCAGCTGCAGCTCAGGGACACACAGCTTCCCCTTGGGACACAAGAGGCATCACTGCTCTCGTGCAGAACCATGTTCGAGGGGTTTGGGAGGGGCTTTCAGTCTTAGGATCTCACCAAAACACCCCCCAAGACAAGAATCCAGGTGCGCGTGTGTTTGACAGTAATCCCAGGAACTACTGGGGAGGAGCAGAGAGGTGAGTCGGGGAGGAAATAAAGGGGGTGTTGTCAAGCAAATCATTGCATGCTATTCATTGCGCCATTGGCCTTGGGCAAAGAGAATCAATCACCTGCTGGAGGCCAGTTAGTGTGTCGGGGAGGGGGAGGGAGTGTCTGCTGCATCTCTGCTCTCGTCTCACTCACCACCATCCGTCTCACATTCAAGGACCCCCACAGCCTGGCCCTTGCTCCAGAGAGAACCCTCAACGCCCTGACGTTCTCTGTCTTCTGCCCTCCCCACCACATCCCCCAGACTCTACCACCCCTCCCGCCCCAGGCTTCACTTGTCTTGAGGCAGAGCCTCTGGTGCCCAGAGTCACGGGTTCTGCTGGCAGTAGGGGTCTGACCAGGGTGGGGAGCCATGTCCCTTCCAGCAGGTGGTTAGAGCGGACAGGTGACAATGACAGAGGCCTTTACGCCTCACCCCGCCCAGAGTAAGCCCTGCTAGCGCCTTCCCGAGTGTCATTGTCCCGAGAGAGCGTGGCCCAGTCCCGGCCTCGGGTGCCTGACCAGCGTGGCCTGCTGGCAGCCGAGCCCTGGAATTTTCCTGGCTGCGGGAAGAGGGTGGGGCACACATCCTCCCACAGAGGAGGCTGTGGCAGGAGAGGGGGGAGCACTGGAGCAGGCCCAGGAGGACAAACAGGGTTTCTCGGGAGCTGTCTCCTCAGAGAGAGCCACACAAACCTCAGTGCCCCAAATGACTTCAGGAACCATCAGAGACTCGCGATGTCGTCAAGTGTGGCCGGGGCCTGTCTGCCTCAGAACCCGCAGCAGAGCCGACCTCAGGCAGCTCCTGGGGGTCCCACCCCAGGTAACTACAGTCAGACCCTTGGGGCCATGGTGGCTGGAATTTGCGTGTGTGACCAACTGCTCAGGTGCTTGCTCTGTGACAGCACAGTGGGGACTGCTGTCCCGCCCGAGCCCGCTCTGGTTCTTCCATCCCACTCTCCTGCCTCCATCCAGACAGGTCTCAGAATGCAGGAGACGTCTGATCAGCCTGTCTCCATCTAGGCCTGTCACCTCCGAGGGGGGCCGAAGGCTCTTAAAATGCTATTGCCATAGCAACAGCATCCAGCCAGTGGGGACCACAGGCAGGGCGCCAGGGCACCTGGGGTGCAAGAATGGAAACTGTCTTCAGAGAGACTATAGCTACTGTGAGGGATGAGAGGGGGCTGAGGAGGGGGATGGGCGATTCAAGAACCCTTGGGAGGGAGGGGTCCCCAAAGCCATCTTGTGTGTCCCTCTGTCTTCAAAAAGAACAACCTGTCTACTCACAGCAGCCCCTGGGGAAGAAGGGGTGCAGAAGTGAAATAGAATAATAATAACAAAAATAATGAACAACAATAACACTAATAGCAAACATTTATCTGCATTTTCTTTGTGCCCGGCATGCTGCTAAGCCCTTTGAAAACTCCAGAGGTGCCCTGGCTGGTTTGGCTCAGTGGTTAGAGCGTCGGCCTGCGGTCCAGAGAGACCCGGGTTCGATTCCCACTAGGGGCACATACCTTGGTTGCAGTTTGTCCCCGGCCCTGGTTGGGTCGTGTGGGAGGCAGCCACTCGATGTGTCCCTTTCACGTGGATGTTTCTCTCCCTCTCTCTCTCCCCCTCCCACACTATCTGAACAAAAAATGGAAAAATGTCCTTGGGTGAAGATAAAAAAAAAAGGAAGCTCTAGAGGGCTCGTTGACTTTTTCACAACAATTCTACGAAACCAGTACTAATTTCACCCCATTTCAATAAGGAGGAAACTGAGGCTCAGAGAGATTTGGCAGTGCCTTGCCCAGTGACACCTAGCGAGTGGCAGAGCTGGGACTTGATATAATTGATGCTTTTGACTCGCCCTTGGACAAACCTGGGCTGCTTGCTGGGTCTGCATGGCCACAGGCTTCGTCCCCTCAGAGTCCTGCTGTGCCTGGCCACTGCCCTGTACCCAGGGCCCTTGGCTGGGCTGGGCTCGATCCTTTGGACAGCACTTGTATCTGGTCGCCTGTAGCACGTGTGGCAGTGCGATCCAGTGGTCAGTCACATGGCTCTGGAGTTGGGTGGACCGGGTTCCTGCTCAGAGTTCACCACTCACAAGTGTGAATCCATGTCCAAGTTATGCTTCCTCTCTGTGCCTTGCTTTCTCCCCAGATGAGAATAATCAGACCTCAGAGGCTTGCTGTAAGTATTACATGAGTTAACATGTGGAAAGCCCTTAGAAAGGCGCCTGGCCCAGCCGGTGTGGCTCAGTGCTTGAGTGTCGCCCCATGCACCAAGTGTCGCCCCATGCTGGTTCAATTCCCAGTCGGGGCACATGCCCAGGTTGTGGGCCCGATCCCAGTGGAGGGCATGCAGGAGGCGGCTAATCGATGTCCTCTCTCATCGATGTTTCTATCTCTCTCTACCTCTCTCTCAAAGAAAAAAAAAATCAATAAAGAAAAAAAAGAAAGGTGCCTGGGACATAGTAAGTGCTCATTAAATCGTATCTGGTATTATCATTGGGCATCAGTCCTGCCAGCCCCTGCTTTCATTGCCTGATTAAGCAAGAACAAATTTCTCCAGAGGTCACCAGTAAATCCCCAAAGGGTTTTTCACTCTGAATTGTATAGGTTTCCAAATTAGTGTTCTGGATCCCCAGTTGTCTCTTGAAGACCAAGAAACCTGGTTTATTGACTTTTGCCCTAACCTGCCCATTGGTAGCGGCATGGGGTGGTCTCCCCCTGAGACTCCCCACTAGTGACAACAATGTTCTGCATCTGTCAAGTCTCAGCCCCTAAGAGGCTGCTCTGAGCCTGACCGAGTAGCTGAGCTGGTCAGAGCATCATTCCAATATGCCAACATTTCAGGTTCAATCCCGGGTCAGGGCACATAGAAGCATCAAACAATGAATGCACAAATAAGTGGAACAACAAATCTATGTTTCTCTCTCTCTCCCTCCATCCCTCCCCTACTTCAGATCAATAAATAAAATAATTTTTTTTGTCAATCCTCACGGATATTTTTCCATTGATTTTTAGATAGAGTGGAAGGCAGGGGTGGGGAGGGAGGGAGAGAGAGAGAGAGAAACATCTCACATCAATTGGTTGCCACCCACATGACCCCATCCGAGACTAGGGACCAAAACTGCAACCCAGGTACATGCCCTTGACCGGGAATCAAACATGAGACCCTTTGATTCTTGTGCTGACTCTCCAACCGCTGAGCCAAACCGTCCAGGGCTAAAATAAATGTTTTAAAAAGAGGCTGCTCTGAGGCTGTGGAGGGGCAGTGTCTCTTTGTGGAATTTTTTAAAAAGTTTGCAGCCTGTTCTGGTGGGAAGAAGATGGGCTGGCAAGGCACCCCAAGTTCGCCAGTGACTATGAAAATACCACTGTGATGGGAGCCCTCCTTTATGCTCTAGGGGTTGGTGGGTATGGGGTGGGATTTGTGCCCTCCTGCTGACCGCTGTGTGATCCCAGGCATGCTGCTTCCCCTCCTTGGCTCTCAGTTTACCCTATCTGTCCACTGGGGACAGTGGATGAATAAAGATCTTTTTTATCTTTGGACTCAGAGAGCTCTGTCTTTGAACCCAGGCTTAACAGCCTGGTGACTCTGAGCAGATGGCTGCCCCTCAGTTTTCCCCATCTGTCCAGTGGGTTGGTCAAGTCTGCTGGGCCAGGATAATAAGAGCTCTGGACCCCTGAGCTCCACACCAGGTCTTTTTCCTCTCCAGAGGAGTGGCCGTCTTGCGAAGGAGCAAAGCCTTAGGAGTCCACCGGGCAGTGGCATGGGGCACAGGTAGGACCGGGTCCAAATAGTAGTTTAGGGACTTTACAGTTTTCAAAGTGCTTTTTCTGCCCATCTATTTCCTCATTCGATATTTACTACAACTTCAAGGGGCACAAACTCATACTCTAGGATGTCCCCATTTTCCAGGTGAAAAGGCTGAAGCCAGGAGAGGGGAGGAGACTTGCCCAATGGCAAGGAAAGGAATAGAGAGGGGAAACCTCTGGGCCTGGCTCTAATTAATGCCAAAGCCAGGAGAGTGGGTGAGCCTCCACCTTGTCAGCATCTGAGGTGGGCACCCCACACCCTTGTACCCTCAAGTGGCCCACATCAGACCCAGACAGGACAGCTGGCAGGGGTCAGGGTACAGGCAGCCCTCATGAAACAGAGCTGTTCTGTTCTCTGGGGGCTGTGAGCTGGCCTCCAGCCCAGGACACACTCATCTGGCCTGAAACCCCACCCTCTCCCAGCTGAAAAATAGCTCTCTGAGGCCAGAGCCTGTGACCCCGTGGAGAATAAGTACTCTGGCTGGGTGGCAGGACTCCCATTCCCCTCTGTGAGGGGGCACTCTGGGGGAACCGCTGTGCCTCCTTAGGCCTCACTTTCCCCATCTGTGAAATGGAGAGAGTGGGCCAGACCAGGGATGGCAAACTGGTGACATCTTGCACGTGGAATTCCCGACCTGCTCGCCCAGCCCTGCTTCCCTTCCTGTTCGCTGACCGTCCATCTAAGTGCCCAGGCTGGAAACCTGCATGTTCTCCCCGAACTTCCCCGGAGCCTCTGGATCGCTCCCTCCCCTAATCTCTCTCTAACCTCCCA